TTTTTTTTTTTTTGGAGAATTTTAAAGATATATTTCTATACTGGCTTAATATATATTTTTTTAGGTACTGGTTCTTAAACTTAAATTTTATATTCTTTTTAGCTAGTTTAGTTGTTTCACTTTCAAAATAAGGTTGAGTTGATTTAATAAAGTATTAAATGTTAATATTTTAGTTATGCTCTTTTCTCTAAAGAGATAAGAATGTGCCGGGATTTTTTCATGTAATTACAAGTAAGGGTGAAAATAGAAAGATAAGTTTTAATTATTGAAATAAATAAATTTTTTAATAAATGGATAGAATAAGACAACTAAATTTGACTAAAGAGAGAATTTAATTGATAAAGCAATGCTTATTTACAAGCCAATCCAAGTTTTGATGCTCATCCAAAACATATTAACTAGGGATCTTTTTTTTTTTTTGGTTGCATTTTATGGTCTAGAAATATAGAGAGAGATTTCGATTTTTATATATTTTTTATGAGTTAAAATCATCTTATACATAACTTTTATATATATCATTTATACAAAATTTAACTATTTATTTTTTTTATTATAAATAGTTGACATTTATTATGAATTTTAGATAAAAAACAATTATCTTAAAAAAAGGACAAAAAGCAAATAAATTTTTTATTAACATACATTATTAAAAATATTAGAGTTCTTTCTTAACTCTTTTCCTATTTGTAACAATCAATATATTATAATCTTTTATCAATATACATACATTATTAAAAATATTAGACATTATTAAAATTCGAATTTAGGGCCTTCACTTCTAAATAAGAGAAGATCCCCGTGACACGCTCTAAAGTTATAATTAGGTTGGAAACAAGAATTTAGGTAAATTGACTAGTTTCTCGTGGGAGATATGAAATGATTCACATATATAGCTGGGAAAATTGAATCTGCTGGCAGCTAGATAACAAGCAGAAGGGCACTTTTTTCCTTTTATTGGGTGAAGGGACATTTTGTTTCCCTCCGTCTTCGGCAATCCAATATCAATTGGTCGAAAGAGACAAATTCCATCTGGACCATTTTCTACAGTTAATGACATTGCCATCAGATTACAGCTTTCATCATTTATTGGGTTTCAGGTTTGTAGAAGCGTTGGTCGGCCACTAATTAATTGAATTCCCTTCCCTGTGGCTTGGTGCTACCGTGCTAGTGATATTTTTTTTTCTTTTTCTTTTTCCCTTTCTTTTTTCAAAGAAAAACTTAATACGGTGGTTAAAGTCTGAATTCAAGGAGGCATGGTAACGACCTCCATTAATTTTGTTAGTATCATTAAAATTGTAAAATTTTTATTTTAATTTAATGAATTATTTTAATATATGTTTTAAAAGTACATATTAAAAATATATTAAATATATTTTTTGTCATAAATTTATATAAAAATATATAAATACTTATATTAATTTTAATATCAGATAAATTTAATGAAACAATTAATAAATTAAAAATTAATTTTTATTATTTCAATGTAAATTTATAACGAAAAGAAAAAGTATACTTAATACACTCTTAATTTATGTTTTTAAAACACAAATTAGACAAACTCTAATTTAATTATTAAAAATAATTAATAATTAATAAAATATTAATGTAGATGAAAATTAGTTTATAAATAAATATTTTTAAATGTTATAACTAATTATTTAAAAAATTATAAATTAATAAAATTACAAGTAAAATAAGTGGTTTTAACAAAATAAATAACAGCTATAATATCAGCCAATTCAAGGAATCAAGCTTGTCTTTTTCATACATGCCTAACGGCTAAGATAAACCTCAGCTAGATTAGCGTGTGAACACTATGGCATAGGATGTCTATCCTATGTCTCCATTTTTTTCCCTTTTTTTTTTCTGGGAATACTCCATCTCTTTGATTGGATCCAATATAGTAAAGTATGTTATTATCTAAAGTGACTAGTGTAGCATGGGTTGTTCTTCTAAATTTTTTTTAAGGGACTTATATAAATATTTAAATTTAAATTAATGTTTTTAAAAATCAATTATTTAACTAAAAATTTTATTTATGTAAATTATATATATATCAATGTTTATATTAATTAAATATTTATAATGTTTTAATCTAAAAAACTCTATTTATTAGCATATATTAAATGGTGTTAAATTTTGTATAATTAATGAAGTACTTAAGCCTACTAAAACTATCTAAAATTAACATGCATGATCTTAAATTTTCAATTTAATAGTTGGTTTTATAAAGTATTAATTAAAATATGAGTTTTTAGATAAATTCTCCCAAAATTCTTTTTAAGTAAAAGACTTGCAAAACATTTTTTCTTACCTATATGATATAAGTATACAATAATTTGTACAATATAATGTGATATTTTATAATTTATGCTTTTTTCATTATAGCTATAATGTGCCCAGTTTCAGTAAAACAAGGCATGCGTTTTTTTTTTTTTTTTCTTTGATCGTCAGAGTGTCATTGGCTCGAGATTAATCTTCCCAAGCAAGTAATCAAATTAAAGGATGTACCCCAAGTTAGTATGATATATTCAAAAAAGTTAAAATTCTTTTAATATTGATTTCAAAACTTAAATCATAGATAAAATTAAAAGATACTTACATACTAATAAACATCCAATCTTATGGTTAGAATACCTGATTTGTTAATAGCAATGTGTAAAAGTCAACTCATAGGATGTCAAAGTGGGGTTGCAGAGCTTGGATGATGCTGTTGCAACTTGCATCCTCAAAATCAATGTGGGAGTACTGTTCTCCAATACAGGATACACACATGAACC